ATTATATAGTAATAGCGGGCGACATAAACATCGATGTCTTGAATAAAGAAAAATCGGAGTCTCGGACAGCCTGAACATATTGTCCAGCTACGCGCTAGAAAATGTGATCCATGATTGCACTAGTGAAGAGCATCTTGCAGATAAAATTACAAAAAGTAGCATTGATTATACAGTAGTTCGAAAAAGCAATTTCATGTTCATTGGTGACATAATTATAAAAAAGTAGCAGATCATAACTTCGTTGCTTTAACGATACTAGACAAAAACTGTACACATAAGAAGGAAGAAAGTCAATACAAACAAATCAGTCAACCAGAGCGGACTACAGTACAAGAAAGTTTAACTGTAATCAACTATTACATCTTAAACATATAGCTCTTTATAAAGCGGTTGTCGAGAAACCTTGGAGTATATACGAAGATTCCAAGAAAATTGTCAAATTTGAAAAAAAATATATATATACATATTGTAATAAATGTATGGATAACAATATAGTTGAGTTAAGCTTTGAGAAAAAACATGGAACAGATTTAGGCAAAACCCGCAAGATGCATAACTGGAGGAAAAATATAGGCGACTAAGGGACAAGGTAACCGAAAAAATCCGGCTATCAAAAAAAAAAACAATTTCCGTACAACACAGCTGAAACAGTGCTGAAAGAACGCGAGGGAAACGTGGAATACTGTAGATCAAATTATAGGCAAACATTCCAAAGATAACGCAGGTGAATCTTTAAGAAAAACTTTGCTACAACAAATTTTGTATATTTTATGTGATAACACCAATACGCTTTTGTTAAGCGGGTGCAAGACTTTCATAGACAAGCAAACAAAACTACCAGAAAAACTTACCTGCGGAGCAGTACACAAAATTCTGCGTAGCTGCCACGAATAACAGAAGTATCTACAGCATATGGCTAGGAATATAGTGACAACAAAACCGGCAGGATATGACCATGAGATTTTTTAAACAGGATCTATACCTAATAAAATGGCGGTTTCGATTGTGCGGCCAATTTACGAAAAAGGGAATAAAGAAGCTCTGTCCAACTATGGGCCCATCGCGTTGTTGCCAACTATTCATCAGATAATGGAAAGATTTGTTTTCAGAACTGCGACCTCGTTCTGAGACAGGTCCTCCTTACCTGCCTTTCCTGCAAACCTTTCCTGCGAAAACTACGCATCGCAGACAAAAACGATTCATGCCGTATTAGGCATTGCCGAAGGGCCGATGTATCGAGACGCAATAAGGTACATAGCATTTAAAGGGACTCAGCAATGAAATATTTTTTAAAAGCATTAATGGGACACGTGTTTTATCTTTCCGTAATTTTTCCACGAGAAGAAGAAAAACTTTCGCTATATTTGTGCCGTTCGATGCAATTTAGGTGGAGGTCACGGCCCGCTCTAAGCTCCGCCCGTTACTGCTGGATTGGTTTGGCTTCTCGGCCGAGCACACTAACAAGCCTGGTGTCCCCCTCTCCCGACATCCGGCGTCTGACAACGCCTGCTAGTTGTGCGAGCAGAAGCGCGGCAGCCTCATAGCGAGTTCGTTTCACGGCACTCGTGCCCACGCGTGCCCACTCGCAGCGTGGAACGGGCTCGTTTCGGGAGGCACTCCACGAGCGGTTGCACTCTCCGAGTTCGTTTCAGCGCTGACACCCCGCGCGTGCATGCACTCGCTGCACCGAGAAAATCGGGAGTGCGCCAAAATGCAATCCCGTCATGCCTCGCTCCGTTGGGGCCGGCGAGGAGCGGGAGCAGACGACGAGGGTTCGTCTGCTACGATGTGTCGCGGAACCGAATAGAAGAAAAAAAAAAAGAAAGAAAAAAGATTTTCTTATAGAAATTGCGTCCCGCGGGCAATGAAATGAAACGCGAGCTTGAATTGTGAGCGTCTGCTATTTCAGGAAGGAAGCCATTGACAACCCGTGATTTATTTGCAGGTTTTAAATCGCTCTGTTGCCGCACTAACACTGAAATATACCAGTGTGTGAAGAAATGCTCAGAACAAACGCAACAGCGGCCCCCGAGATGTCTATCACCATCCGTGTGCCGGTGAAAAATTTAACATTTGTCGACAAAACTCCCCCAGCAGAAACCTTTGACTGCCCAATAAGCATCAGAGAAAGCTAAAGATGGAGACTTTAACCGAGGATTGGGCAGCATCATCATGTTTAACATTTACTTACGTCAGCTAACTTGCCCCGTCGCATTTTGTTCGAGAAAGCTCTCGTTCTCGACGCCCTCACCAAGGCTAATATCTAATCCTGACGATCCAAATCGAAAGTCCCAGTTTTGCTGGATATTCCAACAGGCTAGTTTTAAAAGCCGTACCCTTTCAGTGGTTCACGAATAATACCATGCTCAAACGGATCAAGCTTCTGCTCGGACAGCATCATCAGTTTTCTTCTGTGTAAACGGTTATAAGAATTGAAAGATCGCAACCAGCTGCTTTGTAGGCAGCTGGGTGCGGAAATTTACGCCGTCTGTAATAATCTCTACGGCAGCCTAGCTGCTTGAAGTCATCGCATCTATAAACTACAGGTTGCAGCGACCAACGTTTGTAGATAAACGTTGGTAGCCGACTGCATTCTCGCATTCCCACGCATCGCTCCGAACAGAAAGGCGCTAGTTTCGGTTTGAAGTCGGTACCTTTTCTACAACATAGATGGCGGCAGCGTCAGTCTTCTGCACTCGGTGCATTTGGCGAGTTCGTTTGAGTCCAGTTTTCCGTGCAACACTCTGTGAGTGCGATGCATTCTGGGAGAGAACTCGAACGGTGCCAGTGCGTGTGAAACGAACTCGCTATCAGGCATCGTCTGCTATTTCACCGGCTATCGGCTGCCATACCCGAAGAACGCGGACATGGCTGCCCGTTGGCGTCCGCTTTCACCTTCGTCCTTCTGCCCATTCGCCCCCCCCCCCCCCCCTTTTACAACACTCGCAAGATTCGACCGTGAAAGCGGCGTTCTAGCCTTACATCATTCACGTGCCACGGGCCAATACAGGTGTCTGCCAGCGTCTGTCGATGTGCGGTAAAAAGCGACTGAGTGGACTAAGAAAAGCAACAAAATAAATAGGCAATCGTTTCAGCTTTTACTAACATTTTTTTTTTTTTTTTTGCATGGCATTTGCAAGCAAGGTGGGTGAGCGTCATGACGCACAACGAAAACGTGACCTAAAATGTTTCTCCTTGACAATCCAGGTCACTGCAAATCCTGAGAGCTGCTTGCCTTTTGAAGCGAAATGACGGCAACATACTCTCTAAAAACAGTCTGTGCGTCTACTTTCACGCACACCACTCTGAGAGCCAATCACCGCAACTTACGGAGGCAGCTCAGCGAATGACGGCGCCGAAACATACATTAGGCCAAAAAACGCAGTCCGAGTTGTGACATTAAGCAATGCAAGCGTGACGTTTTGCATTGCTGAATGTCACAACTGAGACTGCGTTCTTTGGTCTAAACATATGTTTCGGCATCGTCATTCGCTGAGCTGCCTCCGTAAGTTGCGGTGATTGGCTCTCCGAGTGTTGTGCGTAAAAGTAGACTTGCAGACATTTTTAGAGTGTATACCGGGACTAACTTGATACGAGCCGAACGCCCAGATACCTCTAGCCAAATGGCTCGTATCTTCTTGGTATTAAAATGATGGTCGCAATCCCGACGGTAGCACAATTTAAAGAGCAGCGGGGCCGTTTTTACGAAAACCAACATGTTTATTCTACATCGCAACGCGCAAAAAAAAAAAAAAAAAAAGAAATCGGGTTAGATCTATTGAAATAGTGAATGTGGGACGCTAGGCTTGGTCCAGTCCCGCTACAAAAACAAGCACCCGCAAAGCGCTTCCGAAGGCAGGTAGGCGCGAGAGTTGTTTGCTGTAAACTATGTCGGTTGATGAGATCTTCCTCTAAACAACTCTGCGAGCTTGAAACGACCCGCATTCATAAACACTGACGAGCTCGACGAGCCACCCTCGTTCAGCACTCCGGAAACGGCGGTAGCTATGTTTCTTAACTTTTGAAACCGAAGAGAAAGGGACATTTTTGAAAGCAGTAAGGACTCCATCAAGGTTATGTGTTCCTCAAGCATAAAAAACATAGACGAATAAGATACTTTTACCACACGGATATACAAATTTACAACCAACCTTTCACACGACAGTCATCTCTCCAGCCAATGAGAGATGTAGCACCTTGTAAGCACGCGGCGGGGCTTAGCGGGCTGCGACCTCCACATTCTACAGAATTGAATCTAATACCGTAAATAATGCTAAAAAAATGTTAGCAATTGTTTTACAAATTTATGTCTCTTTAAAAAAAACACGTTTTTTTTCTGTTTTTTTTTTAATTTCGGTATTTTTTTTTAGACAGTTAGGTGTTTCACTAGTGTTGGCATAATTAATTTTCTGGATTGTAAAAATAGGCTCATAATTTCAAATTGGAAACTTGCTGAACGTCATCTAAGACTGCTAAATCCGTCATTTTTATAAAGACTTGGCGCTCTCGGGAAGCATGGTGGTGCGCAAAGTTTCGTTTGGGCGCAAGGCGGATGAAGAACAGGTACACCGCTCAAGCTAGTCGAGATTAAATTCATGTCCGGGACCCAGAAAAAAAAAAAAAAAATAAGCACGCGTTTCAAATATTTTATTAAGTTAACTGATTAAGTGATTGAGATGGTGCCAATTATATTTTTACATAGAATCCAGAGTTTATTATCACTACATAAAAAAGTAAATATGCGATTATAATCAAAAACTGTATTATTCTAAACGCCAGGTACCTCAATAAATAGGACCCTTGATAGTGACCAATTAATGCGACCCTTATCTCATTTGTTTGCAAGGCGTAGCTCTCACACGCACATTTTGGCGGTTGTTCGGTTAAAGACTCGGTATATCGACAGACTGAGCAGTGAGAAACGGTGTGAAGTGTCCACAGCGAATTAAGTTCTCCACAAAGAATATATCTAAAGTAAGTTAAAAACACCGACAAAAAAAAACAATTCGATGTATTTATTTAAAACCTTTCCGGACCTCGTGCTGAACTCTGGAAGAGCGTGGTCGTCACCGATAAAAAAAGTATAAACAAACCCTCTGCAGTAAAAAAATAGAAGAAAAAAGCGATCGTGAGGAACGTTACAAGGTGAGCACATTTCACTAAGAGTCTTTTGTTGAACAGATCGTCCTCCTCGGCTTTTCAGTCAACGGCGTTCTCGTAGATCCAGTCGAGGAATTCTGTGATGCGCGTGTACACTCCCGGAAGACCTTTCTCTGCGCACTTGATGCCCCAGGACACGACTCCGATCAGAGTCCACTGGCTGCTCTCTGCTTCTAACATGAGCGGCCCTCCGGAATCTCCCTGCGATGGAAAGATTTTTTTTCCTCGTGCATGAAGTCTCGGAGGTGATACTTCTCAGCACCAGATAATAAAACAAGATACTGACAGCGGAATTAAGAAAGCAGGGCGTGGCTTATAATATTCTGCTTCGTGATTGGCCTTTTGGCGTTCTGAGTGGCTTAAGTCGCGATCTGGATGGTCGCGGAGAGATAATGAGATGCGCGGAACTCACCACGGCCTGCGTTCGTTCGGCTGTCAGTGACTATAACACAATCGCGAACATTGGAGACGTTGGAGTCATCTCAAATATGAGATGACTGGAAGAGGCATTTGATGTCTCGAACATTAACCGATAATACAATCCCCCCGCACACGTATAGACGTATACACTTCAACACGTATACACTTTAACCTCGACCAATAACTATATAGATGTCGATTTCTTTTTTTTTATGAGTACTTTAGGTTGCTTCAACATGTCACTGCGTATCAACACCTACATGTACCTGAGCAGGTTGCTACGTGTGGACCCTAGCGAACACCTAAATACGTCAATGAATGTCGACTCTCCTTCTTTTCTGTAGAATTTTAGATCGTCCGATTTATTAACACAGTCTGCCCTCAGGTACCAAACATAACAATCATGAAGAGCGTGGCATATCACGAATGGTCAGTTCTTTTTTTTTATATTATTAATTTAGACTTTCGCTGACACTACACTGGACTTCAAAGTGTCTGCGATTCAAGTAATTTGCTAGATTCGATCACACCCAAGAGGATACAATATGAACTGAACGCTTCTAAAGACGGAGTGGCGGAGATTTGTTGCGCGCAAAGGCTCAAGTTCAAACCTGACTATGGAAGAGCAATTAGGTACGCTCCGTTTCAGTATCACTTGACGAAGAGCGATACCTACAGCCCTGGTAAGCCAATTAGAACGACAGAGGGATGCCTGCGACCACTCTTTACAGAGGTACAGCGACGGTACGCTTTCATGTGTCTCGCTTCTATGATCTCATTGGCTCGCAAAGGGCGCAGGTTTCGTCCCTTGGTAAGTTATGCTTCAACGGAGTATACGCCGATAACCTGGGCAAGGCAAGGCCTTCACAATTGACGGTGCCAACGTGGTAATTGGGCCCGATTCCGAAACCTACCACCCAACCGGTGATTGAACACGACTACCACCCGAAGGCTGAAGCAACTCTTGTCTAATCCATGCTTGCGCTGAATCATGTTGTAATGAATTAGAGTATTGCGCTAAGTTCGGCATCGGCCGAACTTTGCGCAGCACCGAGGTGACAAGCGCTCCATTCATTGTGCGGTGGTTCTCCCCGAGACATCAACAAGAAACTATAGCGAACGCTAAAGCCTGCTCTTGTCCAAAACGACGACTGTCAACCAACTGCCGACGACTGAACGCCAGGTTTAGATCTCCAAATCCCCTTTTCTGATTCTCTCTTCGTCCCCTTTTTTACCCTGGCCTTGCCGTACTGACAGCGACATTCACACTGAATAGCACCGCAAACAACTATGTTCATTTTCCTTCTCATGTCTCCACATCTCTAATCAACAATTTATTATCTTCTAGGAAAATAAACAGTATCGCCCTTCATTGCATTTTTTATGTGCCAGTTGCTTTTTTTTAATGAGTATTTTACTTTATTTGAATTAAACAAAAAGCTTTTTTCTTATACTTGACGTGACTTTAGTGAAGCCAGTGACGGCATGTTTGTAATGACCCATCTTACTTCCATATACCACAGAACATCCGCCGAAAGTGGGGCCAATCCCGTTCTAAAGTTTTCTATTACGTTATTTCGAGGCATCTTGAGACTCAAACCATTGCGTACGGTCTCGGGTGCGATGCAGGAACAAGGAACCGCTACTCAAGAATCCAAGCTCGGTCTGGGACGGCGCTCGGGGGCTCACCTGACAGGCGTCCTGGCCTCCTTCCCTCGTGCCGGCACAAAGGAAGATGTCGGGGATGGCCTGGGTGAACTTGGTCTTGCATTCCGTGTTGTTCCAGACCGGAAGCGTTACCTGCCGCAGGATAGAACTGGAGGGACCGCCTGCGAAGGAAGGCCGTAAAATAAGTCCGTGTCTGCAAACAAGCGAGACAGCGAGCGGCCCCTTCGCTCAGCGAGAGAGACACCAGAGCGCCCCAATGTGTCGAGCGTATACTTCTGGCTGCTCCCAAGCGACGCCGAACAAACAGGCCTCGTCAGCCTCGCGCCTCTTTGATACGTCCGTCCACGTAACGGGTTCTCGCGAGGACCGCTGTTCATGGCTTCTTTCTGCTTTCGGGAGGTTCCGGAAGATTCCCACAAGTTCGGCTTTCGCACACAGCAATGATATAGACGTTGGGTGACCTTTACTAGGATTTACCTCTTAAAGGGATACTGAACCAAGGAATTCACTGTCCATAATAAGTGGCGCGCGCTTTTTCCACAAGCCAGCAGCCGCCGGTGTGCGCGAGCACAGGCAACAAAAACGACGTCACAGACCTCCATTCGCAGTTGAAATGACAGTGAAATGTATGGGCTTCGGACCAAAGGAGAACAAAGACAAGTTTTTCATCTACACAGTGGTGTCTGGTGTAAAAGGTAAGCGATGAATTGGTCTAACAAGCACGTAGCTTCCACTTGTAGAGATGAAAAGCCTGTCTTTATTCTCCTTTAGTCCGAAGCCCATGCATTTCACTGTCATCTCAACCGCAAATGGAGGTCTGTGACGTCATTTTTGTTGCGTGTGCTCGCGCACACCGGCGGCTGCTGGCTCGTGTAAAGAACGTGCGCCACTTATTATGGGCTCTAAATTCTTTGGTTCAGTATTTCTTTAACATCCCGCGGTAAAAAGCTATACGCTAAAACTAATTCTGTACTTTCCTCAAACAGTTTGCGAAGTTACCAACACGCTCGTTTTGTACTTAACTTTAAATTATGTTTCTTGTTTATGAATCCCTGTATCTTTAAGCGCGTAGAATCAACTGCGATTAGAGTCCTAAAAACTTAAGTCCGGAGTGCTTTCAAGTGGCTCAAAATTTACCAGCGACCTTTGTCACAAGAGTACTTGAAGTCTCCCTACGTTTACATGCACTGCAACGAAAAAAATGACATTTTACGAATACAGGAAGTGCGTGACCTCCAAAACCCGACGTGTTCTCGATTGGCTCGAAGACACAAAACAGATACTTTGTGTGGCCTCTCATAATTATGATCCTCATAATTTTGCTTCAACAACAAATGAAATAATCCCCCTGCTGGAACACCCATCTTCATTCAATTCACAAAATAAGCTGAACACATTTTTTTATAGAATTTACTTCAAAAGAAACAAAATAGCCGTAATGCACTTGTGTGGGCTAAGTACCATACATTTTTCTTAAAAAAAAAAAAAAAAGGAGTTTGACGAAGTGCCACACTTTTCTTTAAAGTATGTCTGCCCGAAGGTTTTGTAAATGAAGCAAGTTATACAAAACGACACAAACGTGTGTCAACCTATGTGGTCATTGGGACATTTCTGGCAGTGTTCTTAGCTTGACCGCGATTGGATTGGAAACACCTGAGCTTCTCCAGGAATACGCTTATCAGCATTTTGACGCAATCAGGAAAAATACCTAGGGCCAATGACACAAAACGCGTGACGCAATCCAAGCGTTTCAATGTCGTTCTAAGAGTTACGTGACAGAGATACGATTGAAGCGCACAAACTAGCTTGAAGAAATTTAAAGAAGATAAAATTGTAGGCGCCCCTCGAACGTAACACACGATGAAGGGCTTCGAGCTTGTCCGGTTTATGCGTGGAGCTAAACAACCGGTTTCTTTCCTATTATTCCTTTAACTTTACTTTTGAAGATTACACGTGTCGTTTTGAACAAAATTAAACACGAGCTAAATGGCGTGTGGAGTCGTTAGCAAGACGAAGCAGCCATCGTAAGTTTAGCTATTTTTGTTGATGACGCTGTTTGTCTGATCGTCTCGTAACTGCATCCTATCCAGTGTAAAAGATGAAGTGTGAAGTAGTTTCTCTCACGCGTCATGGATAATTTCCCACAACATTTGTTCAAAATTATGGTGCAATGGCTTCGTTAGGCTATCAGCAATGCTGATGAAGAAACAGCTACTACGTCGCCACTTCGTGGCATTTCTCAAATAGGTCAGATAACTGAGATAAGTAATGCAATGTCGTTTGTAACCCCCAACTTGAACAATATAAACAACCTCTGAAAAGAGGTTAGCGGCATTCATTAAAAATATATCATGCTAAACCTAGAGCACATAAAATCCCGCTATGTAGATCATTGTTGTTGCTGTCGTTTTTGGTGTAATCAAGCGAAAACAAGTGAGTGTGTTTAAGCAAAATAGGAATTATGTGAATGCTATCTCGGTTAAGGTATAAATAATATCAAAGCTATCTTACGAAGAAGAAAAAAAGAATGCCTCGCTCCGCGGAGCGGGAGCAAGCAAGACCTCTCACTGGTAATATTGCAAGGCATTCCGTTTCAGTTTCACTGTGAGGCCTCGAGTGGTGTGTAATTCTTGACTGTGTTACATGTGTCTCATCATGCCATCGATCCTCTCACCGAGAGCGTTTCTAGAGGATGTTTGGCCAAGCTTACTGCATCAGTGAACGCGGGAAGGATACCTTTACAGGGGAATTATGTTTAATCAAAAAGCTCCCGAGAACTAAAATGTATTAGTGAAAGATGGAGCTTTAACTTTGATATGTGCTACGAGTCTCACTTTATTCAATTTTTTTCTAATATTGTGATTCACTGAAAGGGTGGGTAGAAATTAAATATTTTTTCTTCAGATTTGTCCCTAGGACCGAGGGCAACCAAATACACGTTTGTCACGCCTAAGATTGAAAAGTATTCCTTTCTGAATTACTGGTTGGTATTAATTAATAATGCATTATCGCCATTTTTAGTTATTTCATGAATTTTTACAATTTATGCAGATGTCCGACTCAATTCAATTATCCACATAGCTTTGCTGAAAACTTCTGAAAAAGGGCGGTAAAACTAAAAAAAAAAATGTTGGCGATGCTCGTGAAATTACATACTGGCATCTAAACTTTCACCGCACTTCAGCAACTATAAGCTAAAATTCAGGGAGATTAAGTCATTAGCCCGTGTTTTAAAGTTGCTGTGATATTGTCTGTGATGCAAGAACCCACTGCAGAAGTTCGTGTTTTGCTTTGGAGCAGCTAGCATTAACGCTCTTCATCGCCAATTGAAATTGTGTGAAGCGGAATCATAAGCACAGACAACAGTAAAGCGTACCTGGATTTAAAATCTTTTCTTTCCTGGAGCACTCGCACCAAGAAATTAAAGTGAATTGGTGCGGTTCTCGCAACTGCTATGCCAATGTGTTCCTACTGCCAATGTGAATAAAACTTAACAGCACCGAAGCTGTGTTGCTACGCTGCATTCACACTGGCAGTTTAACCGCATCCACTTAGCGGATTTTAGCGCATACGCCTAAACATCCAGATCAATTTCTCATGCATTCTGTGTCGAAAACGAACGGATCCACTTTCCGGTTGCGATTCAAACCACGTAATTTATGAGATGTATTATGAACTCACGTTTCTAACATTCTCTGTGCTTAATTTAGCTTAAACCCCATTCACGTAGTGACTCTCTGCAAGGCAGCGCTACTAGATATTACCACGGGCTAAACGAACTAGGCGAGGAAGCTTCAATTATTGGCTAGTAGCTGCGCTGCTTTGTCGCACCCATGTTCATATAGTAATGGGGTTATTAAAGTCATGTCCCGTTAAAATGACCTTTCCCAAAAACAAAATCGTTCATAATGTGAGTTGTTCATATATCGAGACAAAATTTCACATGTATTTACACAGTTCGTCGCCGGAAATTTTGTCCATATAATGGGTGTCCATATAAACGGAAACCATGTTAACGGGACGTAACTGTATTTACATTTAGGGCGTAGATTTCGCGGTATCAATTGACACAGTGAAGCACTACTTTAAAGCAAGTGCATGAATGAACAGGTATCTTGACTGCCAACCCGATCTGCTAAAACTGCCGTATCCGCGTCTCCAGCAAGCAAACAGCATAAACCGTTATACATATAACGGTCCCCAGTGCGGGTTTTAGCCCTGATTCGCTCGTCTAACAAGAACATTTTGTTGGTCGAGTGGCGGATGAAAAGGATGACGACAGCTTGAAAGTGTTTGGAGCGCGTCTCTAAGTACGTGCGGTCAGGCCCTCATGGCCTCCGCGATTGCAGGGGAAACAGGGGTTTCCTCCGATCGTTCCAAACGCCCAGCCGCCCCAAAGGGTCACAGACGACCTGTGTGCACGCGACCTCTCCAGAAAAGAAGTGCCACGGCGCTGCGGCACTAGCCTCCAGTCTTTTGTCTCGCTAATCCGATGCTACAAAAATTAGTTGAAGGAACAATGCCGAAAAATACTGAGTTTTTAGGAGGCATGATACTAACTAAAACTCCTGTCAGACGGGAACTTAAGGATGTTCAGAACGAACTTCTTTAAGGACTTCTCGATCCAGCTCGCGATCTCCCGCCCATAAGCGTGCGCTGGTTCGCTGATCTTAAAAGAAGCTTGTCCGAAAAGCATTTAACGTGCCCGTCTTACCTTCTGTTACCGTTGCTGCTGCTCTTTCACGGATATTATGTTTTTCAATAACGGCTTCACCAGACGAATAAAACAACCGAAGGAGCGCCTTTTGCACCGACAATCGCAGAGGTCACAGGCCCTGACTCAACAGCTTCTCGCTTTATCGCTTTATCAACACCACCAAAATACGAAGGCCGTAGTACTAAATTTTCCACGTCACCCTAAATGGACAAACGCAGGGCACGGACTGGACAAGACTGCAGCGTCATCGTTCGGCTGAGACTTGCCTCCAATCAGCAAGGACACGAGTCTCAGCCGAACGCTGACAAAGCAGTCGTGTCCAATCCGCGCCCTGCGTTCGCCTCCTTAGATGACGTTGGAAATACGGCACTGCGGCCTTCTTATTTTAAGAGGTGTTTGGCTTCATCCGCCACGCGTCCGGAGATATTTATTTAAAAAGGGCGAATCAGGGCAGACCCTCGCCAGGCAACTTAGAATTTAAAACGTTCGATGCCGTTTGCTAGGCTGGAGGCACGAATAGGAGGAAGAGGAAAAGGGGTGTCGCAGAGGAAAAGAAGAAAAGAGGGTAAACCGGAACGAAACGTCTGCCTCCGTAGACCGGGAGATACATCCCGGTCTACGGAACGATATACGTACAACGGAAGCTTTCCTAAGACCTGGAAACCTCCCTCCGCGTGTAAGAGCAGACGAGCGTTTCCGAATGCCAAACTGTCCCGAACTTCCAGCTTGGGACGGATATAGGAGAGCTTTTACGAAGAGACGCATCAATGGAAACACCAATTAAGTATATCCTATTGAAGCTGGTTGTGACACATATTGTTGCATACCAATGAGCCGATACACTGCAAAATGTTTACGCTATCTCTTTTAAGGATTTTTGGTTCCCTCCCACCGCATAAGAACGTGCCCTACATCTCGACAAGCTAGTGGCGTTTCGCCCAGTAGTACGATGCCACAAGAGCAATATTCATACTCAAGAACCCCAAAACGAGAGAACAAAAAGAGATAAAACACAAAGCCAACTTACACACTGTTCACCCGTGTGACAGTTCATATTTCAAGGCGAATACTTGCCTACTCTTCACGTATATGAGCGCGTACGAATCTTTCCCCGGCAGACATGGATCAGTTGATAAACAACAGGACGTGAGGAAGCACGAGGAACAGCACCTCACCAGCTCCACGAAGAAGCTCGGGCGTGTACTTAGACCAGCGTATCGCGTTGTAACATTTGAGAGACGTTCCTCAAAAAGATCTCGCACAGGAAGAGTGTGATTCGTGAATTTACATCGGAACTGCCATGCTAACTATAGACCTACCCGGTTTCATTTTAAGTGTTCGTGGTTATGGTGCTCTTGATTTGCTCGCTTTCCGAAACGACGAACATGCGCGTGCTGGGCTGAGGAGATCGCACGCTGGGCTCAGGACTTGTAAATATTGGAATGGTGTAGTATAGTTAATAATTCTATGAGAACGGCAGGAAAGTATTTCAGTTGCCCCGCCCGCGAGCCTCACAGCTTCGGTAACTCTTCGGCGCCTTCTGACCTTCAAGCGTGCACGCGCAGCCAATGCACGGCAGAAGGAAACGAGCGCATTCTGGAGGCCGTGCATCCTAAAAAATAAACGCCCTGCCATTCTCATTCTGTCAGTGACAAAACTAGATTCGGCAGCTCCAAGACATGACTTGCTGTGAGGTGTACAGAAGCTGCCTCCGACAGCCCTTGTTAAGGGGTATGCAAACTGGCGTTGTGGCCGTGGGCAGCCGTAAAAGGTGAAATGGCAAAGCCGGGGAGACTTCAATCTTCGTCACGACACGTTCCGGCAAGCTGCGGCGTTCCGCCCCGTGACGTGTTCGACGACGAAACCACTGAACACTACCAATCACGTTCACGAGCGGGGTGGAGAGGAGGTCAATTCTTCGGCAAGGGTCGCGTGGGTCGGGAGTCGCGCGTCGCGGCGTCACCCGCTTTGTCGAGTGAGTTTCTCCCTACTTCCCGAGTGAGGACGAGACTACCATGCAGGTCGTGCAGGCGAGCCCCGAAGGCAATACCGGATGCAGCGAAAGGCACCGAACACGTGGACAGAGACATTTCCATTGGTAGGCCGGTGCGCCAGTCACATCGCTTCCCCTCTCCGACTCACCAAGGCTCGCCACGGCTCGCTGTCGTATTCAAGCAAAACAAAAACGAGAGGGAGTCCAGATTTTTTTACGGAGCGGTGAGCCGTTCACGGTCCACGCCGCCAGTTTGCGTACCCCCTTACGCGTACGATCGAAGGTGGCGTGGCTCGCCGGCACTTACCGAAGGACAGCGTTCCCCATCCAACAACGGTGGCCAGCTTCCCGATGAAGGTCTCATGCCGCTTGGGCAGACAGATGGGCCTGATGTGTTCGGTGAAACGGACGCGGCGGCTCAGCCTCAGCAGGGCGATGTCGTTCTGGTAGGTGTCCTTCTTGAACTCCCGGTGCTGCCGGATACGGGACACGTTGAAGTCCCGGGTTTGTCGACTCGTCGAGTTCTGCTTGAAGTCGTACTCGCCCAGCCTCACCGTGATGTTCTGCGGGCGAAGCCTGCGCGAGAGGCACCGTTCATCAGCTAGAGCGTACAAACTTGAAACAACGTTCATCGTCAATAAGCTTATGAGGGTTATCGTAGTGAATCCAACATTTTCATGAAGTGTGGTTCCTGTAGCCCTAGAATAGACAATGCTTAAAGTATCCGCAGTTCCTTTGACGATTATCTTATTGGCGCCATCATTTTGATGATAATGCAGATCGGGAGGAATAGGCGATAGTTACGATTTAAAAATGCAACACCAATAACTTCAGAAACGTTGTTAGAAAGCTCAGGTGATAGTGATTTTATATTTATTGTAGATTGTTTCAGGGATTTCTGGGGAACGGAAAAGCGTTTCCTGCAATTGGAGATAAAGATTCAGTTGGATCTGCAACCACGAACTTAAATACCAAAACGGTTGAAGTATTGTTACTCTGAGGCGTAACTTCTTTATTAGTTCTTGTGGTTCCCTCTCTGGGGGGACCCTTTGAAAACACTTTTTTTTCGTTTTTCTGAGCATGAGCCGCTACGTGTTTAGATTAACGCCAAAAACCTTTTTGCTGCGAAGCTCCTACAAAGGGTCGAAGCATTGTAGAATAATACATTGCAAAAAAAAAAAAAGAAGACTTATATTACGGACATTTTTAATCGCGGTTCTTATCTTCAAGGCGCAATATGTGCGTAATTTGAATGTACATTACCTTAATATAAGGCTATTTTCTTGCTGATTTTTAGTCAAATAATCACTTCCCATGAAGCGACGGAGAAATGCAAAATGGATTTTTAAAGCTTTATTACTCAACAATCAAAGCTAACACAAAAAAAGATATAGGGTACAGCAGACAAACATTTATTTACAAAATACATTCGTGAATTCTAAATGGCTGGTTATTTAGAAAGCACAAACTAAGAGAGGGAGTTTAAGTGATGTGAAAGTTTAATGTTTAAAAACATGGACTAACAAAAAAAAAAATAAAGATCTTTTCGAACGAGAATTTTTTTTTTTTTCATTCCCAAAGTGACTCTGTACTTTTTTATTTTTTATTTCATTTTTTCGGACGCAATATAAAATATTTTCGTGTACGCTCGTAAGGGCTGCAGATAGTGAAAATAAATGTACTGAAGGTCAGTTTCAGCTTAAATTGGAAGTGCATTTTTTTTTATCGATGAATCGATAAGACTGCACAAATGCGCAGAATATTTATTTTCATTCGAACAAACTCAAAAAAAAAAAAGAGATGAGAGTTAAGGGGTTCAGTTTTCACCGTGCACTTATCAGGAGCGGCGGACATTTCATGACGCAATATGCGTCACGGTAACTTGGCTAATTAACTTTAAAATTAATCAACGTTTATTTTTTTTTTTGTTACGATTGAATTGCAGAATTGACGGAAGTTACTATTCATAGCTAATCCAATTTAAACAGTTCTCGAAGTGCCCACACGCTTCGAGATATCCATCCCTCAGTTTTCGCGTTCTTCTCAAATGATTTCGAAAGCAGCAGGTGTCGAAGCTAACTCCTGTTCGTAATGATGCGTCGAAGAGTGACGTACTCGTGTCGGGGGCATCGTCATAAGCCAGTTTTAGGACAGCGTACGTAAAGAAATAGCCTCGCCCCCATGCGCCATTTCAAAACGCAGTTGGGGCTCGGCGCACGCGCAGTGGCCATGACGTAATTTCTCGGCAGCGTAATGTCGGCGTATTTGCTATAGGACACGGTGCATAGATAATAGCGAGTTTTAGTAGAGTAAGAAGCGAAAGTATGGAAGCGAGCAGTAAGGCTAGGAAGCACCATAATCTAAACCTTGAGACAACGTCTCAGACTTTCGAAAAGGCAATGTCATACGAACCAGCGTTACTGGATCGTTGATTCGAACAGCTCGGCGCTTCATTTCGTCAGCTTGGTCCACATATTCTTGGCTCTTACAACGAAGGCAATGCGGTGGAACGTGCTCTGACCACGGCGGAGCAGGACCACTGGCACGGAGATGCGTTCTCGCAGAAAACCGAAACTTAAAAACGCGTTCATTATTAGCGTTTTTTTCGGAACGATGCTGGGCGTGCTTTATATTTTTGCGAGGTTTCCAATCGAAACTGCTCCTTTAAATGTTATAATTAGAAAGATAATTAGACCCCTTTCTAAAAGTCCATCAAGCAGCGGTGACAGCCGCCATTGCTTGGACACGAAGCGCGTGATTGGATCCGAGTCCTCGCCGAACGCTGACGTCACACTCGCTCTCGATATGAGGCGACCCGATTCCTCGCCGAACACTGACGCAGGCCTCGTGTCCAATACGTGCTCAGAGTATCTCATCAAGCAATGACGGACAGGTATTGGCGCGAACTTTTGAAAATTGTCTTTTGCACAAAAGTAATTAATAACAATTTACCAAATGTTCGTATTATTATTATTTTTTTTACTTTCTGGTAGAGATGAATACCACAGAACTTGTTTTTTTGTTCGGTGCGTACTTTCTTGCTGGAAGGGTTTGGCCGGCAAGTCGTGAAACACGCCGAATAATGTAACTACATTATCGTGTTTTCCCGACTATAGTTCCTTAAACTACGCATGTTGAAAATTTGCATTTGTTTTTTATGCGGTGTAGACTATTTATTCTGCAGGAGCAGACTATACAACAATTCATATTTTTTTCGATCGTTTCTTATTTCGAGACGTGGCGAATTTTGTGAATGGCAGAGTAGGTTAATGATGATTTAGGTATGATTCAAGCTTCTTTGTGATCTAATGAAGCAAGCATTTGTCAATACTCTGTGTAAGATTTTTTTTTTTTTTTGTGAACAAGGCAACATGTTTGGATTATGCACCGGGTGCCGAAATACACGGAACTTTTAGCTTCTGGTAATAGGTGGTGCAATTCAATTACTTTTCAAAATGATTTTGGTAAGTAATTAGTAATTTACTTGGTGCAAAAGTACTTCGACGATATCTTTGCATTTCATTCAGCAAAGTAAAACATCTATACAAAAGAAAATTCGGCAGAGACAGTTAGGACTGCTTACGTGTGGGAATGCGAAATCATGACGCACGCACTAGACACCGCTTTAGTCGGCCGGAACCGTAGAGCCGCCGTGGCGTCGAGGAGCGTGCTCGTCTCGCATCCCGAAGGCCCGGGACCGATTCCCAACATGGCCGAAATGTACAAAAAAAAATGTTTGCAAATTCATATGTTTACTTTCTTTACAGGAACCTCCCTGAGAATTTTTTCGCGGATAATGGGAATTTAGGTACCGTCTCGCGGCTACAAACAACGTCCAGCCAATGGGGAATTTAGTTGCGGTTTTCGCCAGCATCATCGGCTCCGCTCCGTGAGACACTTAATGCGTTCGCATGAAAAGCTTCCGGTAATACCTCGTCTACATATATCTCCAACTCTAAAATTCGCAATTCACAAAACTGCTTGTCAATCGAATCCAACACGTGGGGTTGATACAGCAGCTTGCTCATACGTCGAGTGCAACTTACCCTTGCGTGCAGTGCGCAGCGGTCAAAACATATCTCTCGCTGATCAACGCTCCGCCGCAAAACTGGTCGTCATCGAACCGTCGCAGCAGCGCCGCCTGTAAAAAGACAATTTGAAGAGCTCTTTAAAAAACCTGAAACTTTGCAGCGCTCACTCAACCTCTTTATCCGCCAACTAGACGATCAAACCACTATGTTTGGCGGCATTGCAAGCTTTAACCACTACCCTTTTAACAACGCTAAGTCGACTCAATGTACCATGCGGATGCTGGAACACTTTTGTGTTTATCATCACTTACTTCCAAGTACTCACCTCGGCAATATTTTTATAACGCACTCGATGTCGCACTCGGTATAATTAGAGTATCGTATGATTTGCCTTTTGGATCATCCACAATATTACACCCAGAGTCTCGATAGTATCAAGACTCTGGGTGTAGCATATTTTGAACACATGGTTTGGAATGCTGACGTAACATATATTCATAAAAAAAACGTTGCAAAGCTGTGGGAATAACGAATTATTATACACCTATTCTTCCAGCAGACATTAAAAAAAACGAATTTATAATGCACCTTTTAATTCACTTATCCGTTACGCCCGCTCAATTTGGGGAACGACCACAAAGGGAAACTTGGACAAGTTATGATTACTGCAAAAAACAAAATCTCTTAGAGTAATTAAAAACTTTCCTCATTATCGTCTTTTTTTTTTCCTCTTTTTGAAAAACATAGAATTATTTATACATCAAATATGCATTTTATACGTTGATTCGCCACTATAAACAATCCGTGAAAAAATGAAAATTCAGCCTTTACACCTTGGTTAAGAACGTAGAGCAGCGGAGTTGTACTGTGTACGTGTTGCCATCCATGAGCGACGGCGGTTACCAGACAACCGGCAAGCCGCTTGTCAGGTTGCTATTGTCGCTCATAGATGGCGGTAGATCTCTAAAGGGTTGTGTCGAGATTGATTTGTCTACGGACACAGAACTGGGGAAACTAGCCCTTAACAGCTCCGCTGTTAAAAATATTATGATTATTTTAGATCTTGCTAAGCTCGAAAAAAATTAATCCCTGTACCCATCAGGCTATCGAGCCGCCTGGCGTATTATCCCCGTTAGAACTTAGGACATATTTTGGTACTCGAAGGTACCGTTACAAATTACCGGAAAAATTAAAAATTGTTTTCGTAATATTGAAGTATTTTCGGTACATAGACATAACCATCTAAGAAATATTGTAGTATTAAAGAATTTTCGGTAAATAGACATAACCATCTAAGAAATATTGTAATATTAAAGTATTTATTTTCTATAATCTAAATCTATAAGGGTTATAGTTTTCTATATAGGCATGCGTATACGTATGTATGTACATGTTGCTCTCGCCAGTGCCACTGCAGCCTCGTAATGGGGGGGGGGGGGGGGGGGGGGGGGGGGGTTGGGGTTGGCGCTGGAACTCGTCAAACTAAAATCCTGCCGCTTTTCTTTTCTTCTTCTTTTTTCAGCGCCATTCTCACAAATGCATTGTTTGTGCCAAAACTAAACTGATTTGATTTGATTTGATATTGTTGAAGCTTTTTATTCTAATATGTCCCTTGAAGTTCTGCAGAAAAAAAGAACACGATATGATATTATCATTATATAAACTTCCACGTTATATTTCAGTCCGCGTGTTTTACGTTTGTATAAAACAAATATATGCGGAAACTACATGAACTGTCGGAAATCATTGAAATGATTGACTACCATCGATCTTTCTCTAACCCTCGCCTGTGATCGGATGTGCGTCGAGCAAAAACATAGGTGAATCACGTAACTAAAACCTGTAGTATGGCCTGATTTCGGTTACTCGGTCATTTTTAAATTGCGCATCTAAACTGATCTCGGCATCAATTCTTTACTTGCTTCATTTAAAATGTAAAAACGCTGTCTGTCACCCTACTGGAAAGCGACTATTATGAGCAATGCTTATGAAAAGGGTCGAATATTTGACCCTTTTCATAAGCTTTCGTTATGAAAAGGTTCAATATTCTCCAGTTTGAAGATGAAAAGTGTCAAATATTCTCCAGTTTGAATGTCGCTAGTAATATATCGATTAAACCATTAGTGCGTTCACGTAGCTCTGGTAAAGTAGATGACAAACTGTGGTTCTTAGGTATATGCGAAACTTGCGAGTGTTGAAATATCAATAAGATATATTCATCCGATAGTTTCCTCGCCTACCGGCTGGCTATTGACATATGCAGATAAAGAGCTAGTCGAACAACTAGTGATATAGGTATCGCCATATTGATGTACGAACAGATTTTGATCAATAACTCCGGTTGCAAGTAAATCCGTGATGTGATTTAGAATGCAAGCGTAATTCGAAGCAATGGGTGAGAGCTGAGATAAAGGTGGGATGACGAGTCGACGTGAAAGAAGTGTGAGAGCAAGCAGGTTGTGATGGTGAAGTTAAATAGGTACAAAGTGCTCCGGACAACAGTTGAAGAGCAGTCAATGAAACGAATAAACGAGGACAAAAAACTAAAAGAGAAACAAAAATATCATAGCCGGATACCCGATGAGGCGAACAAGAGCGAGCGAAGCTTAAACGTTCATGACCTTGGTAGCTCAGTAAAAGGTGGAGGGAGGTCGGCGGATCCGTAAGCAGAACGACAACGTGGCACTTTATAAACGTGTAGCACCTCGTTTTATAAACATTTCACTGAATATATCTCAAAGTTTAGGCAGCTATAATATCTCGAACTAAACACTCAGAACCACGTAAAATTGTATTTTCATATAAAATCTCTCGCCAGATTAAATTTATTGATAAGTTGAATCTGCCGTCAGTTACGGTTTTAGCGTGGTTACCTAATGGAGAGCTTTGAAAAGTACATACGAGGTGTTTCTTTTTAAAGGTGACCTGAGGAGGTTTCTGAGATAGCCTACATATGGCGGTAACTCACTCTGCGGGCTCTAAACATCCTAGAAATTCAGCCAGGACGACATGCGACCAATGAAAACGCAAAAATTTCGTTGAGATTGCAAGCGCTTTTATCATAAGATATATGTGCTTTTGTAGATGATAAAAACAAATAAGATGGGACATAATACTTCAATAATTGTCCCAAAAACAGCACACTATAAGTTTTTTTTTTTCCTTCTTTTTTTTGGGGAGTGATGTGTTCGGTCGTCAGCTCTTGAGCGCGCGCTCACTGGGATGAATCGTACAGTCTAAAAAAAGTCTGTGCGTCTATTTTCATGCGCAACACTCGGAGAACCAATCAGCGCGACTCACGGTGGCAGCTCACCGAACGATGATGCCGAAACATATGTTTAGACCAAAAAAGTCGCGCTGATTGGTTCTCCGAGTGTTGCGCATGAAAATAGACGCACAGACCTTTTTTAGAGTGTAGTCCGGGCTGAAGGGCTAACAAGCCGCGGGCATTCGAGATATCACTCCGCGGTTCCACCGGTCGGAGGCGCGAGGATCCTTAGCTCGCTATTGGCTGACAGTGGCCCTTGTTTCGGAACATGCTCCTCCCATCGCCGGAGATAAAGTCGGTGTGTTGCGATTTTCGGTTACCTCATTAATAGGGAAATCGGCCGCCTATCGTCATGATTTAGAGATTTCTAGGATGCTTAGAGCCAGCAGAGTGAGTTATCGCCATATTTAGGCCATCTCAGATACCTCTTCGGGGCACTTTGAAGCTTAACCGATTTGTATTAAAAGTTTACATTAATGCGATTTGTGCAGGTGAGTTATACGGCCAGAGGGGCATAGTATAGGGGGCTAATCGTAACGATCAGTCGGCTAATTAGTTAAAAAATTTTCATTAACTTTTTAATTATTGGAAGTAAGTATATGCTTCTAAATAAAAACTTGCTGAGCGGCATCGAAAACCACGAATTCAGTCAACATTAGAAAGACCTAAAGCACGTGGGAAGCACAGTAGAGCGCTACAGTTACCACTCGTGCCGCAGGAGCAAGGCTACCGCTGCGATAACGCGCCCGCCTGGTTCTTCCGTCTCTTATCATCCGGGTTTTCTCGCCGCCAGCTTCGTACCTGCTGCACGACTGGTAAGCTTAGACCACTACTACAATGTACTTCACTACTGCGCTTCCAACGCGCTCAAATTCTTTCTAAAATATTACCAATATAGTTGTTTTCGGTGATGCTGAGCAAGTTTCTAAGGTAAATTATTTGTTCAATATAACTAATGAAAAAAGTTAATTCACAAATTTTGCTTATTATTCGACTTACCGCGACGATTAACCTTATATATTATGTCCATTTGACCGCATAACTCACCTGCACAAAGCGCGTTAATGTAACTTTCACAGATTATTAAAAAAAAAAAAAAAACTCTTAAGCGTAAAAAAAAAAAACCCATCCATGTCCCGCTTTTTGTTTGGTACATGTATTGTAAAATATGAGAAGCATAAACCGGGGTCATCATTAAAAGTAGACATAATTATACCATATTTATATCTCCATTGATTCAAGAGAAAGGCCTTACCATCCATGTCCAGTCGTTGGGCTTTGCAATGGTTCCTCCGACAATTCTTGTTTTGAAATTAAGTCCACACGCTGCAAAGAAATGGAAAGAAAGAAAAAAAAGAAAAACGTGCGGAAATGTGAGGCATTGTATGTGACGTCACTGGATTTCTATACCGGAAGCTGCGAATTCTGCTCTTTGATCAAGTTGGAAGTCAGACGCACTGTTTCTTCGCCGGGTCACACGTCCGAATTCGTGTTGCACGTGTTCGGACGTGAAACACAGCCGATGAAAAGCGTAACACACTCGTATGGAGCATTCGTAATGCATGAATCAATAAAAAATCATAATGGTAATATGCATCATTTTTTATAAATATAGACAATCGGTGTTAATATAACATTTGTACTGATACGGGTTTTAATGTGAAAGCATTAACTATCCCATAGAGCGGAGCCGGCAGCTTCTGTAACCGCGAAAAAACGCAAAATAAATGCCCATTCTCCCATTGGCTGAGCAAAACGGCTCCTAGATAGCCATTGGCTGCCGCTGCTCTCATGTCAGGCCATAGTCTCCTCAATATAAAGGAGGCTATGGTCAGGCGTTACCGAGGCGAGGGCTGCTGCCGTTTCACGAGAGCGCGCGCTCATCCGCCGCTCTCGTGTCAGGCGTTGCCGGAGGGGGGGGCCGCTTTTGCTCTTCTCGGCGCCAAAGAACATGGCGGCGCCTGAGGCGTCTATATCATCGGCGGCCGCAACCTCGGCAGTAGTGAAAAATGGCCGACCACGCAGTACTCCCCAGACGAACTAAGGGAGCGGAAGAACGACATTCATGCTTTCGCATTCACAACTCATAAGTGCTTAGGTGTCCTTGGAAATTTTTAGAGAGCAGCTCTTAGGTGATCGCTTCCGGGTTGAGCGGCCGCGTCGTCGGCGTGGACGTAACAGCGTGTTGCATTATGGGACGTTTCTCATAATGACGTCACACGTGACGTCAAGTGTGACGTCAGGAGAATAAAATTTTCCCGTTAAATTTGGCGGAAATGTACTTCGCTAAATTTAGCGGGACGTTTTTTTATAATTGGGGAGTTTTCGCAGACCGCGTTTCCCCCTCTGCTAAGCTTTCCGCAACAAAGAAGCCGCTACGGCGCCTGCGCGCCGATGGCCATGACTGTAGAGCTTCAGGTATCGTAGCGGGTTAGGAGAGCGCTGCGGGACGGCGAAAACGATCTACGAAAACTCCCTAATGACGTCACACGTGATGTCACGTGTGACGTCGTATTGGGAACGTCTCGCTAAATTTAGCGGAACAATTTCCCCACTACATTTAGCGGGAAATTTTTCGCTAAATTTAGCGGGAAATTTAGCTAAAATTTTCCACTAAACGGGAGGAAAGCAGGAGAGGAGGATGGGAAGGCAGGAGGGGCAGGAAGGGCATACCGTCCCTTCCGTACCCTCCTCTCCTCCTCCTCAAGAGCTGTGCTCCAATTCGGCATTACAGATAATAGTAAACGTCTTTAATTTTCTTTCTTTTAAATATCTTGTTAATACATAAGATTGGTGTTATATATTCACATTAGATTGTTACCAACATATGTATATATGTGTACACACAACGCCATTCGGGTAGCACTTCAGTTTTCTCTAAGTTCTTGTATCATTTTAAGCGGGAGAACAAATTCCGATAGAACATACCTTGATATTTTTATGAACGCACTTGGGCCTTAACGTTTATGGGCTATAAACAAAATGGACATAAGGCTATTCTGTAAATTATTTTAATCTGCTTACACATATTGCAATGGCAAAAACATTATATTTGAGGAACTTAATCTGATCAAGTATTACCTGACCCGATAAAATAGGTGCTTAAACTACCGATAACATGGCATACTTCCAGTAAAACAAACATCGCGTAATGGTACGAAAAAATTTTACAGCCGAAAAACAATATAGTGTACTCACAGGTGAGCAGCTGAGATAATCCATTGGGGATGGGCGGCGGTGGTTTGCTGGGATCCCTCGGGGGCCTCGGGGCTTGACGAGAAGGAGGCGGTTGCTGCACGGGGGCTTCTTCTTCATCGTCCGGAAAATGAATGGGCGCATTCACGCTGGGGCTCTTAGACGGAGGCTTTTGAACCTGCGGGAGCTGCTGAACCGGCGGAGGCTGCTGAACCGGTGGAGGCTGCTGAACCGGTGGAGGCTGCTGAACCGGTGGAGGCTGCACCGGTTTTGGTTGCACCGGTGGCTGCACAGGCGGTTGGACGGGAGGAACGCCACCGTGAGGTTCCACGTCTTCATAAAACGGCGGTCTTTGAGGTCCGTTCGGGGGGCCGCCATTGCCATCCGGGAACTGTTCAGGGGGCGGATGATGTGGCTGTGGTCCATGTGGCCCGGGCCCCTGGTGATGCGGTATCTGGGGCGGACCTTGAGGTTGTGGGGGGTCGTAGTCGTCGTAATCAGGAGCCCGGCTCGGCGGAGGCGCTTGGTTCTGGTTGATTCCTAATATTCCCGACAGGATGGGGAACAACGGTTTCTTCTGGCCTCCACCACCGAAGAATTCGTCGGGACAGCAGACGCCCAGATGACGATTGCTGATCCGACAGCTGTAACTGAGGAAGATGTCGAAGTTCTCCAGAAAGGCTGGGAGCACGCAGTCCTTGACATAACGGCACTTTCCGGGGCCTTGTGTGGGCGTCGTGCAGATTTGAAACTGCCTCAGTGTCGAGATGAGGGGACCAAAGAAGGAACTGCGCGATCTGGGCAGGTTGAAGTCGTGACCCGAGTTCTGCACGTTCCTGATGAACGAGTTGATGGTGCCTTGGTCTTTGATGGGAGATCCGTGGATGAGGTGTGGCGCCTGGGGACCTTGATTCTGATTTCCTTGGGATCCGAACTGAGATGGCGGCTTGCCTAGGTCGAGAAGAGGTTTGAAAAGCGACCCTAGAATGCCTTGAAGGAAGGAAGCAACAACGGACGAGCCGTTTTCTGAAACATCGCTTCACGCTTCGCGAACGGGCACTCAGTCAGTGTCATCAATAATGTAAATCACGTTGTTGTTGTTTTTTGTTGTAAGGTTTACCCGGTTTGCTAAACAATACGAATTCAACCCGCTTCTTTCAAATTACGGAGAGACGGGACAAGGAAAGATTCTTCTGAAAGGAACCATAAAATATCTCCTGGTTTGAGGTATTACCAATATTACGCGGAGTGACACGAACACACTAGTATGTAAGGGTAATGCAAACTAAAATCTTTATTTCCGGTTTTCATTTTGAAATTCCAAAATACCCTACTGAAAAACCCACAAAAAGTTTTCGCCATCTAGATTATTAAACTGTAAATCTATCTAAATTCTGAAGTGGCGCCATACGCCACTTCAGGCAGAACACGCTACCGGTTCACATCAGAGCTGTACTAGCCAAGCATATGTACGAACACCCCAAACTCCACGTTTTCCTAGAGTAGATACCAGGTCACCAAGGGATCGAAGGGAACGCTCTAGCCCACGAGCTCGCCCGCGACCATGCCCCCCGGGGCCCTCCGACTCCCTGGCCGCAGGACTACGACCCGTACGATCATAGAAAGATCCTACACAAGGAGCGCACCCGTGCACTTAAAGAACTCAGGCATAATAACACATCACTAAGATCTCCATCACGTATGCTCAACAGAGAGGATGCCACCATCATACGTAGAGCACAAACAGGCACGCTCCTTACGCTACACCACAAGCACCATATCTCAGGAGCGCCAGGTACGCCCAGATGCAGAAGTTGTGGAGGCTACCCGAACAATGAGCACCAATTATGGGCTTGCACAGGCGTCATACCAGCCAGAAAAGCCATCATAAGCAGGTTGCCACCTGCACATCGCCCCCAGAGCTGGGAGGATTGGATTAACCCCCCTCCTGAGTATGAGCCTACCCGTTGGCCCCTCCTGGTCCAGCACGTGAAAAGCACCCTGGACGAGGAGTGGTGACCAAAGCAAGCATCGGACTGGATGCAATAAAGATGTTTGTTCTCTCTCTCTCTCTCTGTCTGGATTTTAGGTTTTCGGAAATTATTCCTTTCTCTGCAAACTGAATTTCAGGTTTCCAGAAACAATTCCAGTTAGATTTCCAGTTCCAAAATCTATATTCTGAAAAGTCATACTGCTTTCTCGGTAGGGTAAGAGCTGAAATTACTTTTTCCTTTCTCCCTCTGCTCCCTCAGTTTGATCTCTAACTTTATCGTGATGCGTCCACGGACCCAAACAGTGACACCTCTTGTCCCCAAAACACGACAGTTGAATGCATTTAATCAATTGGCCTGAGCATTCAGTCATTGCTTAGCTTGCGCTCGGATGCACCCAGAAATGTACACAAGCCGCTACAAGTAACGCATTCCTTTACCTAGTTACTTTTTTCGGTAAAAAATTAACGACTTAATTACTTTTCAAGTGAAGGAATACGTAAGGTATTTTTGTTACTTTTAATAGAGTAACAAGTAACGGCGTATAGTTGTTTCTGGGGCATCGTGTACAACACCGATAAAAAATATAATTATCACTCCAGCTCGCTCTTGGGGTTTTCATGGCGGAAAAAACGCTACACAGACAACAAAAATGTGTGCACAAAGTTGTTATAGAGACAGTTACTGAACGAATGCTTTAATAAACAAGGAATTAATAATTATGCGCGATATTGGAAGGCGGCTTAAAAACGGCACAGTTGGTAACGAGGAAGAAACGCGCGGTACCTTCGAGCTAAAGTAACGTATTCATTTTAAATCCGAGTAATGAGTAACGCACACAAGTTACTTTTTGAGCGAGTAACGAGTAACAATATTTAGTCACTTATTTCGCTTCAGTGACGTGTACATGTCTGGGTGCACCTAATCATACGGAGGAGGGTGGGGAGACTGGGACTTCGTGGGTCGGCGAATATTCGGATTCACGTTTGTTGTCAACAACCGAGCGCTTTCATCATTCCATGCACGTGGCTGCGACGAAGACTGGCGGCAAGCCCAAAACACTCCCAGAATACGTGGCAGCTTGTTTTGGCCACGACCTGTAGAGGTAAATGCTGCTCCGTATTTTTTTTTTTTTATAGTCTCCAGATTCACCTAGAACATCGTACATTTTGAACAGCTGCAGTCCCAAGAGTATTTCACGGAAGTCCCTTTAATCATATAAACTATTAGTACCTGGTAGCAATGATAACATGGAGGACATACTCCTAGGGTCACTAAGAGCTTAAGAAACGCCAGGTGTGGATTGTTATATTGACGCTTCTTGCTTCGACAATAGGCCCCTTTCAAAAGTGCGCGCCAACCTCAGTCCGCCATTGCTTGGTCACGCACTCGGATCATGTACTGGACCCAACTAAGGGCTGCGTGAGCGTTCGGCATGAACTCGCTTCAGTTAGCGTCAACGTTACTAGAACAAATCAGTTGGGGAACTGCAATAGAGCCTGCTTTGAGAAAGTGGCTCCGATCCGCACCCGAGAACCGAACTAAAGGCGATCCAACGCCGCCATTTCTCCCGCAGCGGCCATTCCGGGAACCACACGGCTGCACGTATTGGTTCAAATCGAGCCGCACAAGAACCGGTGGCGTCATCTCGCAGCGTTATTTTGCAGTAGATATATAAATGAACTTTCATGTTTTAACTTGTCGCCAAAGGGTGGCGCTCTTATCGTATTTAGTTTGGTCTCGGTGGACGCGAGCGATCCGGGTTTCAAGTGTGAGTCTCCCAACTGAGTGTTTTAGTAACGTTGGCTCGCAATGGAAACGGCTGGCGCCATCTATGTCTGCTGGGCTGTGGAACGCCTCCTGAGCATCCGCTGTTGCTCTGTAGCGCGTACGTCAGAGGCCACGCACACGTCCGCAGTTAGTGACTTCAGCGGCAGCTTTTCACTTCGGGCTTTTCACTCAGCAGCTTATCACCTGGCTGAAAAACGCTGAGTCACCGAGCTGTGGACGCGTGCGCAGCGTCTCATATAGCACACAATGGAGCAACAGCGCATGCTCAGAAGGTGTTCCACAGTAGAGCAGACAAAATACGGCAGCGGCAGAATTCGCTTTTTTTCGGAAAGGTCTTTGAATTTAAGCCCAACCGCAGCCGCCGCTATACGACTCGATGGATCCAATCAAGCAGAGTCAAAAGTGCATCATCACCGCGCTCATTGTCTTTCTGGGCTCGCCATCGTCGGCTAAACCAATCGCGCGCCGAAAGAAAGAAAGAAAAGCGCAGGATTTTGGCGCCTTTCACCGTGCCTGATTGGTGTCGTAAGTTACATAGTAAACGCCACAAGATGATGTGCATCGTGACGATTCATTTTTTAGCGCTGCTTGATTTTCCCGATCGGATCGTGGAGTCGGCTAAGTGCAACGGACTACAGAAACATCGTTCCTATCGGAGCCGTGTCCGATGTTTTCACCCGGCTTACCTTCCCGTTTACTCCGCACGAGGCTCGTGGGGTGGCTTCCGCCGGCGCTTGTCGTGTTCACGAGGCATACCAGGACCGCTGCGCTCAGAAGTCCAATCCGCATGCTCATGGTTTCGAACCTGAGACGAAACCAAAATGAACCAGAGGCTCTTTCCTCCTTTAGCCCCGACACGTCCTCAAAACGTTGGCGCTTTCTTCCGACCTCTCGATACGCTTTTGGCGGCTAGGCACAAAAGCTAGTTTCCAAGGTTAAGGTGCTTTGTGTTTCTGTTTCGCTTTCTGGGCTGCCAACTGTTTTCACCTTGCGGACCGGGGCCGTCCCATCCTCAAGGACTGTCTACGTTGCGCGGCAGCGTCAGACGTGATTGAACAATTACTACGTCGGACCTGACGCTAGGCTGCTTTGCGTTGGCTTTGGAGGAAATGCCAATGCATAATTTGTCTAACACGTGACGAATGCCTCGAGGCTGCCTCAGATTGCGTGAACCTTTTTGCGTGCTTAGATTTCTGTAGGTGTCTAAAAGACGCCCTTGAATCTAGTTGTCTGACACACGGCAGAATTCCTTTTCATTTCTGCGTGGCAGCTAAAATCATTCTAAATCATTCCGCAAGAATGGCACCTGAAGTATTAATATTGTGTGGAGACGGGCGGCACGGTGTTGACGGTGTTCACATTACTTGAAGACAAATCGAATGAAATCCAGATTTTTGGCTATCGAGTCAAGGCCCACAAAAGGGTAAAACGTGAAAATCTTACAAATGCCCAACGAAAGCAAGTGATGTCATTATTTTTCGTTATGCGCGTAGGTTTAGCTCAAGAGTTTTACATTCTACGAGCACGTTCTCCCTGACGCACTTCTTGAATTGCTAATCCGCGCGACCTCGGGACGAAATATTCGCGAGAAATTCCTTCCTTCAGCGTCAGACCGCAAGTGCGTCACACGTGCCCGTTTTCTTCAAAACTGCGGTTTTGTAAAATACAACTGTACCTCTACGATGTATATATGTATGAAGAGTATCGGCAGTCTCTAGCAGTCACTTATTCACCAATATTTTTACTTTTTTTGTATTAATGAACAGCTTTCTTTCTCAAGCAACAATGTTCAAAGTTCTGCGCAGCAGAACATCCTATGCTACATCCACCCAATTTGCGAACGCACTTGAGTATATAATTTAGCTGTCAAAAAGTAGCAAGAAACTTTCTTTTGGAACATATCTGGTAGTTCTGTTTCTAAATTATATCTAGTCATTCATTCTTTTTTATGTTAAAGTCAACATGCGATATTCTGTGACGCGCTACAAGGAGATTCTGTGCCTTCGAGTAACGAAATGATTATCCACGTCAACGAGCTATAAATACAATTACATTTCAAAACACTTTCCTTACACTCCAAGTGTTGCCGTAAGATTTATCGTAAAAGTCACGCCGTTTAATAATTAAAGATCACTACGCGATGACGCCTGTGCCTTCAATATTCTTGGACAAATTATCGTAGACACTTGCAAGGGAATAACCCTTTCTTAATTTTTATTTTAATACTTCATTCCTGCATGCACGATTCCACACCTGTGGTAAGTGTCATCCTGTTGTATCGTTGTCAATTCAAATTACTCAGAAGAGTACACTTCGGTACCATTTGTCGAATCGTTTATACTTATGCAACTAGCCCACGGGAGTCTCTACCTTACACAGATGTAGAGTATCAGTAGAAATGAAACAATCATTTGGTATTTCATCTAGCATCTACCCCAACCGTACCACCTAAGACATAAAATCACAAAAATCGGCGACTAAAAATTTAGCGGGTTCGTCAATTCCAATAGAAAGAAGAAAAAGACGAGAGAAATACCCGCTATATATGTCAGCACAATGGCATACTCTCAAAAGCAGTGACTCAAATGTAAGGCGCTCTGCCCTTTAGTCGGATCGCCGACCTGCTAGGTTTGTACTGCCTAATGGCAATCTTAAGACTTCCACTAACAAAACCTCCTGCACGTTTACTTTTCCGCAAAGAACGCGACGAAATTAAGTCACATACACTTACGGAGTCGCTCAGACTAATCCTTAGGCGTGGGCTAATATTAAGGCCAAACGGGGTGCGTTCTGTAACGCACGGCATGACAGTTTTCATGACAGTTATCATCACTCACCACTGCAGCGGCATTAGCTAGCGTTACTGCCACCGCTACCAGAGGCGCTGGGCTTCCAACAATTCACGGCCCGCGGAAGCTACGTTCGATCTAACGTCAACACCACGACGCAAACACCGGAAAATTGGCCGACCACGAAAGAAAGGTGTAAACATAAAGTGTAGTTTGTGTGACCCCCCGATTCACACGACATAGCCGCAAGCATCATCATCGCGAGTTGTGCAGGAAAGAAAACCCGCGGAAACTTTCACGACTCTTGTACGCGTTATACGCCTGTACCCCGTTAATAGAAGGAAATGTCGGAACGTCGAGACCCGTTTTACTCGGTACTGCGTAGCTGTGACGCCAAGCTTCGGACCGATACCGTCGTTGTCATTTCGAAGGATAGACCGACTTACCTCTCGTGGCAGGTTTTAGTTATCCTGAAGATAGGGAAAGCAAGCGTCGCACAGCAGAGCGAGCTGTGCGGAAAAGAAGCGATGGCGGCGACGCGTCCTTTGAGGAGCTCCTTCCAGCTCCGCCGTCTCTGGTCCGAAAGAGTCGTTGAGAAGGGTCTCCTCTGGCAGGCGTTAAATTGCGCCGCGTATTCCAGAGGAAGGTCGGTTTCCCCGGGAATTACACAATGTTGTCTAGCGATTTCTCCTGCTTCTTCGAAGGGCTCGCTCCTCCCTACGCGGAAAGAAACCAAGACGCGCCAACGTATGAGAAGAACAAAATACGATAAAAGAAGAAAAAAAAATGCGGGAGATTAACTCGCAAAACACGCGCCCTTCGTCGCCGTTCGTTTTCCTTCCAAAGCCTTTCCCCGGTGTCGCAATTCCTCCGATGAGGCGGGCCTTTGACATTATTTTTTTTATTTTATTTCTTGTCCGTCACGACTCTCTTCTCGACTCATTCACTCGGCTCAGGTTACCTTTCTGTGCCACGGTCGCAGCAACTTCCCCTCGCTTTCTTTGTGACACTGCGTGCCTTGATTTCATTCACTGCGGCCATAAGGATTTGCCCTCTCGTGGTATCGAGAGGTTTCTAGTTTCAGTTTCTGGCGTTTTGTTTATCGCTGGTTTTTCCGCCCTTCCCCCCCCCCCTCCCCCCCCCCCCCCCTCTGCATGCAATTGTGCAATGAGAGGAGAGGTTGCTGACTTTTATCGCCTTTAAAAAGTCATCACAAGGTTTTCAAAAAGGGTGATCGGGTGAACTACGTCAGCTCCCTTGAGAGCCAGAGCCAAGACGAAGATAGACCGTAAATGGGCTCTTATTCCCCAGATCAACCAGATGCTAGCCGTCCATGTAGAGCGGTGGCTACCGCATCGACCTCATTTCTGTGGCTATGTTCTCAGGATCGCCAACTCCAACGGGGCTCAGGCGACGGCAATCCTACGATGCTCAGTTGAGAGGCAGCATTTACTATGATAATCCGGCGCACGCTAGTTTCTCGATAAACTTTTCTGATAATTCACACATTTTGGGAACATTCGTATGATCCGCCCCCCCCCCCCCCCCCCCTTTATTTTATCTCTCGGTTTATTTTAACCACGGAAGTAAATTGTGTAAGGCTCGTCGTGAACACAACGTTCAATGCCGTTAATTGTTGCTATTTAGTTAATCAATAAATATTTTTATCGTTCTTCAGCGCAATTTCTTTCCGGGATTTAAAATAAGTAAGATAGGCTATGCAATCATATACCTATCAGCGTCAAAATGCTAATCCGCCTTATAACTTGCACTGGGCTCATGCCAAACACGCATTTTGCTGTTTACTATCGCGATACATTATGTTATAATATCAGTACCCTATTTTCCGGACTATAGTACGTAATCTATACACGCTTTAAAGTTGAAAATTCACCCGACGGGGACTATCTACAGGTGCAGACTATGCAATGATTAGTTTTTTTCTACATCGTTCACTGTGACAATTCGTGAAGGAATTTATGAGTAACGGACTATATTAAATGTTGATTTAGGTACGATAAAGCTTCTTTGTGAGCTAATACAGTATCATTTGTCAAGGTGCGCTGTGTATGGCACTTTTTTGTGTTCGGACTAGGCACCTAGTGCGGACTATGCACGGGGTGCGGATAACGTACCGGGTGCGGACTATAGTCCCAAAAATGCGGTACTCTTTTTTCATCTTTCTACTATTCTAATGCTAAGATGTATTTTGCTTTCTGTGTTGACGAACCTTTTCTTTTTGAACCCGTCGGTGTCCGTAGTATCGTTTCATTGACAGGAATAGGGGGACAGAAGTTTGTGGGCTGGACTCAAAACCCACTTTGTTTCACGATGCCAATAGTCGCATCCACGGTTCTTACGTGTGGTCGAGTAATGAGCCTTTTTTTTTTAATATGGGGAAAGAGGAAAAGTCAACTTCTTCTCGAGATACCGAGCGCACCAAACGTTATGCCGAAAAACACTTCAGTCTGTGTAAACACACGCTCCATGGACGCCTGAAACTTAATTCCAATGCTCTGCAATCGCGAATTCCGAAAGTGCTGTACATTTTCAGGATACTACCAGAAAAGCATCCGGAGGGGTTCGTTGGATCGACCTATGACTGACCTAGAAATCTGAACCAACAAGCTACGTCTTCGGACTGAATGCGGTTAACTGTCGTCCCAAGGTTAAACAGAGTGCACCTTTCTTTGGCTCCGTGAATAAGCGGACCGCCAGAACCATTTGCATCTTTTCTTTCATCACTTCCATCGTTTTTTGTTTTTTTGTTTTTTTCTTTCGTCTCGATCTTTCATTGTTTGTACTAAGTATAGTGGCCTCAAAACGTTATTTATATATTTGCGTTCAGCTTCCTGAAGTTCGTTCGGCGGCAGGAATCGTCATACTTCGCCGTGACGTCAATTATCACAAACTCTCCATTGTTGCCCGCTCCGTATAAACTTTTTCACCCACAAAGCCGCGGCCACCGAAAAGACCGGTTCGTGGAACTGTGCCAATGCGGGGCCATCCTGCTTCTTTTGTGCGGCACGTAGACCGGGCGCATTGAGACGGTCGGGTATTGCCTCGGGGGCGTGCGCGCCCAGTCAGCCAGGGCGTATTTTCGGTAAGGCATACGCGTATAATACGCAAGGTCGTGAGCGGGTTATCATGGCCCGCTCTTCAGAAACGATGTGACCTAAAACGCGCGCGCTCGGTCAGGTCGCGCCGGGACATAGTTTGCCGGCCTTGTGCCTCAGAATTTCCCCTCAATGCTGTCTCTCCTGTGCGTATGCATCTGCGTCCTTAACGGTTTCAGTGACGGCGTACAGGAACGCCACTTATGCATGAGTGGATCCCAGAATCCAATATTGCTTTTTGGTGTGTGAGATTCATTGCTTGAGGCCTCATCTAGTAAAACGCATTAAAAAGTAGCTATTCAATTTAAAATCACGGTAGAGATATGTTGTACTCAAGTTGCCTTCATGAAAATGAGGTCTGACCCCAATAACGAGGCGATGAACGCAAGTTTTGCACTTTCAATAAATACCGCTTAGAATTATTCTTCAACGTTCGTAACCTATAAATATCGTGTTTGATTTTTTTGGTTTCCTACGTAAGGGAAGTTGCCGTAAAAATTTGAGAAATACATGCAGCGTTCACCTTCTCAACTCCCAGCCAGAACAAGTGGTCACGTGATCTGGAAATTGCAAGCATGACGCCCCGGCCGGTGCCCCACGCGTGCAAGCGCGTGCAGCTTGCGCGTGAACCACACTGTAGCGTGAACATATGTTTGAAAAGCTTGCCATTGCACGGGTTTGTCCGCACGAGCAAAGATGTCGCAGCGGTCAGTTGCCTTTCTTGCCGCCAGTGCTGATTGTAATCAGAGTCGTATATGTAGAGAGTTTGGCATTCATTGGGAAGTATAAGGAGTGTTCACTGGGCGCCATAATTGTGGGTGCTGTTAGAGCGCATGCTCAGAACGAGCCGCTAAGACCGGCAATCTTGAGGGTGCGGAGTGCACGTTACAAAAGAACTGTGGAAGCTCGACGTCAGCACGCGCTCAGCAGACGTGCACAAAGCTATGGCCGCCAGTGAATACTTTCTATAGGAGAAAAATGAGGAGGCGCCATCGGCCGAAAGCGGGCTGGGTGTGTTAAAGGACCTCTTCACAAATTCGAATGTCGCCAACCAGAAGCCAGAAAAAATACCTGGCGGTGGTCGGGAGAAACAAGATTAATACGCGCGTCGGAGTAACTCTCGGTGACTGAAAATATGGTGTGCGTGATGTTTCAATCACGGTCATCCGAAACCATGGTGGAAGGGCCCGACTAGCGGAGCGATCGACATCATCCGTACGCCAGGCGACGAGGGCCGGGAATCTGCCGTCCGAGCGGTCACACTCTGTCCGAGCAAAACAGGGTTCGAGCGGCACATTCGTTTCTTTAATCTTTCTGCATGACCATGATCCAAACATCATGTGCACCCTATTTTCAATTATGAAAGGTTACTACATTTAACTCTTATGCGCTTATTAAAACCATATATTTATGGTTAAAACTGTTTCTAGCTACCACCGTTAGGGGATTCATTTCGGCTTCTGGTTGGTCAAGAGATTATGCCAAGCCGTCTTCCTGAGTCTGGTGCACGTCCTAGCTCTTCCCGCGCCTCCCATTGACCAAACTCTCTCTATACACGGCTCTGATCGTAACTACGCGCTTCATAAGTTTTGCAAAGCACAGGGCACGCGCCGAGTTTCAGAGATGGTTAAGGTTCGGCTATTACCGCCATCCAGTGATTTCGCTACATACCCCCTTGGAGGTGTGTACATCCCCCTCCCTTTGTATTTCTAAAGGCACCCCTTCCCCCCTTCCCCCCCTAAATATTTAGGTACCCCCCCTCCCCCCCCCCCCCCCCCCCCCCCCCCCCCCCCCCCCCCTAAATTCAATTCTTGGGGAAACCCCTGCCGTCATCGCAGCGATTTGGAACGAGCCACTACTCGAATCCAGGTCGAGGCATTGCTTATCACCAGCCCAAATCGAATCCTCAAGCCGTGTGCACTTATTGGCGGCGAGAGATTTTGGTGGCGCCCTCCTATGGTTACCTTTTGTGACTTCATTACCTTGTGAACAACACGTTTGAAGGTGTTTGTAAAGAGCATTGTGGAAGCTTGAAATCAACCCACTCTCAAACCAACACTGTCAATACCCTCCAAATTAAAGTTCTTCCATTCCTCTTATTTCCGTCGATGGGAAATCCTTTGCTGAAGTCATAGTCAGCATTCGGCCTATCGTAGAAGACCGATCACAGCGACGCTTTCGATCACTCACGTCGCCAATAGGGACTTTTGGCAAGCCGTTACCGTGTTCCGCGTATCGCACTACCGGAGCCTTTGAAGCATGCTTTGAAGCGCGCGCCGGGGTGATATCGTGACCAGCGGGGCGAAGTCGTATCTCAATACGACTTCCGGTCGTAATGAGATACGACCGTAAGTGCACCGCGCGCTACACTTTGGTGCAGCAGTGCAGGAGGTTCGGGTAAATCGAACGTGCCTAGCGTATATGGACCAACACAGGGCTTTGACGCCACGCCATTGGCTCTGATTTCACCCACTGCGGTGGCGCTGCTGTCGGCATGGCACATGCGCAGTCGCCCCCCCCTCGCGTGAATTCAGTTTTTGCGCACGCGCAGTACCCACGCCCTGGGTGGGAGAGAGAGAGAGAATAAACATTTATTGTGGT